GATTTCCCTGCGGTGGACTGGGTGGTGCAGGTGGGTGCTTGTCCTGCCCTGGGTTGCCTCTAGTTGACCATGCGGTGTTATTCGCCACCAATATTGCCGCCAGGGGGCTCGACTTCCCTGTGGTTGACTGGATGGTGCAGGTGGGTGGTTGACTTGGTTTGACCTGCGTTTGCTCGGGTTAACTTGGGCTGTGCAGGTGCTTGTTTTCAATGCATTTCTGACTCGTGTTGACTCTTGTTGACTCCTGTTGACTCTTGTTGACTCTTGTCGACTCTTGTTGGCTCTTGTTGACTCTTGTTGACTCTTGCTAACTCGTGTTGACTGTTGTTGACTCCTGTTGACTCTTGTTGACTCTTGTCGAATCCTGTTGGCTCTTGTTGGCTCTTGTTGACTCTTGATAACTCTTGTTGACTCTTGTTGACTCTCTTTCTCCGTCTTCCCCACAACTGCCCATCCCCCAAAACCAGGCCGACTGCCCTGATGACGTGGCAACATACATTCACCGCGTGGGCCGCACGGCCAGGTTCAATGCATCTGGACGCTCACTGCTGCTGCTGACGCCATCTGAGAAGGCCATGCTACCGCTACTAGAGGCGGCCAAGATCCCCTTCTCCCTCACTAAGGTACGTGGTACCTTGTCTCTTCATCCCAACCAAGGCGTTTTCTGTCTAGGTGCTAGTTCTGATGTGCAGATCTGTCATTACCAATGGTGATTTTTAAGTCGACTCAAAAATCACCTACGTTTTCTGTCTAGGTGCTAGTACTAATGTGCACATCAGTACCAATCAAGGCACTTGTACTGATTCGCTCGCTGCTGGAGGCCGCCAAGTTCCCATTCTCTCACCAAGGTGAGTCTTTTCTTTTTATTAGGGCATCCAGCTCGGTGAACTTGGGTCTGATTTGAGACCCCTTTTGTGCTCACCCGCTTCGATAAAGCAATGCTGCCGCTGCTAGAGGCAGCCAAGATCTCCTTCTCCCTCACCAAGGTGCGTGTTGGTTGGTACCACGTTGTACCTATGTTGGCTGTAGGTGCTGCTGCTGCTGCTGCTGCTGCTGCTGACGCCGCCCGTTTGAGAGGGCCATGCTGCCGCTGCTTGAGGCTGCCAAGATCCCCTTCTCCCTCACCAAGGTCTGCTCACTCTAGGTGCTGTGCACTTGTTCCCCCCCCTACTCCCCCTCTGATTCGCTCTCTCACCTGCTGCTGCTGACGCCCTCTGAGAAAGCCATGCTGCCGCTGCTAGAGGCCGCCAAGATCCCCTTCTCCCTCACCAAGGTCTTCTCACTCTAGGTGCTGTGCACTTGTTCCCCCCCCTACTCCCCCTCTGGTTCGCTCTCAGCTGCTCCTGACGCCCTCTGAGAAGGCCGTGCTGCTGCCGCTGCTAGGCGCCGCCAAGATCCCATATCCCTCTCGAGGGTGAGTGGTGGCTGCTGCTGCCGTCAAAGGACCCGGAGATCAAGCACCTGGTGCAGGGTGCTGGGGACAGGCTGCTCTGAACCCGTTTCCCTCTCCCTCCCCACCCCTATCAGGCCAACCCCGCCAAGATGCAGCCCATCTCACAGGAGCTAGTTGCGCTGCCGTCAAAGGACCCGGAGATCAAGCACCTGGTGCAGGGTGCTGGGGGTCACCTGCTAACTGCGTGCCCCACCCACCCACCCCCTCCCAGCAACCCTCTCCCACCTGCTCTCTTCCACCAACCAGCCCAACCCCGCCAAGATGCAGCCCATCTCACAGGGCCTGGCAGCGCTGCTGTCGAAGCATCCTGAGATCAAGTACCCAGTTGCTGGTGTTGCGCTGCCATGTGCCCCCCCTCTGCCCCCGCCTCCCCTCCCCTCCCCATTTAGGCCAACCCACCCAAGATGCAGCCCATCTCACAGGGGCTGGCAGCGCTGCTGTCAACGGACCCAGAGCCAGAAGTCAAATACCTGGTGCAGGGTGATGGGGATAGGGTGCTTGCTCCGGCACCATTCCCTCTTCCTCCCCGCCCCTATCAGCCCAACCCCGCCAAGATGCAGCCCATCTCACAGGGCCTGGCAGCTCTGCTGTCAACGGACCCAGAGATCAAGTACCTGGCGGCGGGTGCTGGGGATAACCTGCTCTGACTCCCTCCCCTCTCGCACCTCTCCCCTTTGCAGGCCAACCCAGCCAAGATGCAGCCTATTTCACAGGGGCTAGCAGCGCTGCTGTCAAAGGACCCGGAGATTAAGTACCTGGCACAGCGGTCCCTCGTCACCTACCTGCGATCGATCCACGTACAGGTATGACTTGCACAAGTGTACATGTATGTATACGTGTATGTGTGCATGTGTGTACAAAATATATATATATAGTGGATTTACACCTGGCAGAGCGATCCCTCGTGATGTACCTGCGATCGATGACATATACATATTTATATGTATATATATATAGAAAAGTGTATTGCATAGATTTGCTCAATTACCTGGCGCAGCATTAGTTGCATCAATAATCACCTATTTGCATTCCATGATTTTTTGCTAGTTGTCAGCCTCAATTATTCCCCCAGTAGCTGCCGTTGCCTCCCCCTTTCCTCCTCCAATCTCCAATCTTCAATCTCCTCTCTCCTTTGCTTACCCGTCTCGGTCATTTGGGCAGAGCAACAAAGAAGTGTTTGACGTGACCAAGCTGCCCGTGGAGGAAATTGCAGCCTCCATGGGGCTGCCCAACCCGCCAAAACTTCGCTTTCTGAAAAAAGTTAAGGGAGCAGGGAAAGAAGAAGGGGATGAAGAGGAGGGGGGGGATGGGAAAAAGAAGGGGGATAAGGGGAAGGGGAAGGAGGAGGGGAAAGGGCCGGTAGGGGAATGGAAGGGGCAAAAGATTCGATTTGGTGATGATGGGAGTGATGGTGAGGGGGGTGGTGAGAGTGATAGTGAGAGTGAGGGAGAGAGTGAGAATGAGAGTGAAGGAGAGAGTGAGGGAGAGAGTGAGAATGAGCAAGAAGAGGAGGAAACAGAGGAGGAGGAGGAGGAAGGGGAGGAAGAAGGGGATGAGGGAGAGGAAGAGGAAGAGGAAGGAAGTGGGGAGGAGGAGGGGGAGGAGGAGGATGCAAGGGAGGGGAGGAGGGAGGAGAAGAGGAAGAAGACCAAACTAGAGCGGCTGTTCGGGAGGAAGAACCGAGACGTGCTGTCGGCCTCATATGATAAGCTGAGAGCGCCTGAGGAGGAGGAGGAGGATGGGGAGGGGGGAGGGAGTGAGGAGGAGGAAGGGGAGGAGGGGGTGAGGGGGGGAGGTGGTTTGGGTGGGGGAGAGGAGGAAGAGGGGGATGATTTTTTGCGAGTCAAGAGGGTGAATCACTTGCTGGAGGGAGAGGAGGGGGGGGGAGGGGAGGGAGAGGAGGGGAGGGAGGAGGGAGGATTGGAGGGAAGGAGGGGGTTGACAGCTGGAGAGGAGAAGAAGGCGAATCTGTAAGTCATCCCCAACCAAACTTTTGAGATGCCTCAAAACGCTGATGTGAAAGCCCCTGGAACACTTATGTTCCGCTGCTAGTGGTTCATTGGTAGCACTTAATTAAGTTTTGATGGATCTTCTGTAAATGGTGCATGTCACGGTGATGCCACTTATGTAAGCTCCGAAGCACTTTTTGAGTCGACTCAGAAGTCAAAAGTCACCTACTTTTTCAGTCGACTCAGAAGTCAAAAGTCACCTACTTTTTCAGTCGACTCAAAAGTCTCCCCGCCCATTACCTCCCCTCCCCCTGTTTCTCGCCCCCAGACCCCTGACTCTTTCCAGGAAGCAGCGCAAGAAGCTTCTCTCAGGCCCCGGCAGACATGGCGGCACGCGATTGGTCTTCGACGACGAGGGCAACTCGCTGCCGCCCCTCGCCGCCCTTGCCCTAGAAAAGGACAAAGCCGAAGGGGTGGCTCCAAAGGGGCAGGGTGTATCTGGGAAAAGAGCACCAGGGGAGGATGCTGAGCTGGCAGCTGCCGCCCGGGCAGCTGAAGAAAGATTTCAGCAGCTGAGGGAGGAGATGCAGCAGAAGGATCTGGAGGACCGGGCTGCTGAAAAAGAGCGCCTGCGAATGAGACGGCTTAAGGAGAAGCTGAAAGCGAAGAAACGGGCAGGTGAAGGAGGGAGGGAGGATGGTGAGGAGGGAGGTCAGGTGGTATTGCTAGGCAGTGGGGGGGGTGATGATGAGAGTGAGGAGGAAGAGGAGGAGGAAGAGGAGGGAGAGGAGGAGGGTGTGAGGAGGGGGAGAGGCAAAAGGGAGAGTGACAGCAGTGGAAGTGATTATAGCGAGAGTGAGGGTGAGGAAGAGAGGGGGGGTGAAATTGGCGGTGTGCAGTGGGACGAGAGTGATAGTATGGAGGGTGATAGCATGGAGGGTGACAGTATGGACGAGAGGGGAAGTGAGGGGGAGTATGAGGAAGAGTCCAGTGGGGATGATAGAGGGGGGGAGGAAGAGGAGGAGGCACCGGAAGCAGTGCCACTGGAATGGGGAGAGAAGGACCTAGCACAGGCAAAGCAGCCACATAGGAAGCCGCATCTGTTGGGGCAAGGGATAGAAGAAGGAGAAAAAGCAGCAGCAGCAGCAGCAGTAGCAGTAGCAGCAGCTGCTGCCAATGGGAAGAGAGGAAAGAGAGTGAAAGTTGGGGGCCCTATTGCTGGTACTAGGCCAGCCAAACGAGTGAGGTCAGACCAAGGGGAAAGTCAAGGGAAGGGGGACGGCAAGGCTGCAGGCAACAGAAGCACGGCAGTGGGACTAGCGGAGCAGGAGGCTCTTGTGCTGAAGCTGCTGGCTGCCAAACACAAGTGAGCGTGCTTGGCGGCAGGGTGAAGGCGCAGTGTCTGTCCGGCGTAGTTTCGTGCATGATGGGATGAAAATGGGGGAGGAGATGGCAGTCGGGAAGGCACGGGGATGGAAGAAGTGAGTGATGATAAGAGATGATCACTCTGGGATTTTCAAGCATTCTTATTGTACTTTCAGTAAGTTTTACTGTGCTGGAAAAAAGTGTTACTAATTACTTTATCCAACATTCCCATAACTTGGTGTGCAACAGATAACTACTGTTCTAAGAATCTTATGGCTCTAATGTCATGTACAAGTGGGATAAACGAAACAGAAATACCGAGTAGGAGCATCAATTGCTTGTAACACCCACCCTCTCAAACCATCCAACCAATATGATAATCAGGGTTGTCCAAAGCCACGCTATGTAAGTAAATACATCAGCAAAAAGTCAGCGAACTGATGCATTATTCAGCCTTGTACCGGAAATATCACTGTACCCTCCAGGACTACCCTCTGTCTACACATGGCCTGGGCCAGTAGCAGGTGCACCAGCAGAGGCCTTGGCGCCAAACTGGTCTACCTCGGGCTTGGGCGGGAATAGGTAGTCGCGGAGCAAGAGAGCAACGTAGAAGAGCCCAAACGAGCTGATGGCCACGCCGATGATGATCAGATAAGCCTGGAAGGTGAAGGGAGGGATGCAATTCAGAGAAAATAAGCAACATGAGAATTTGGCTTCTTTCAGTGGGATTTTTTGGTAATTATCCTGAGAGGACATGAGGGGAGGGAGGCATAAAATGTGCAGCAGATGGGGGCATGAGCAAGTGATGATGAGACAGATGTTGGAATGGAGAAGCAATAATATCATGAGAGTCTCACCTTCTGGCTTCCAGAGAACATTGTAGTGTAACGGTCGAGGCCGAGGAACACGTTCACCCAACCCATCACCACCGCGACAATCCCCACGAACCAGTGGCCGAAACGCCAGAACACGCGGTAACCGGAATTTCGCTTCGGCTTCACGAACCCGCCAATCGGGAGAACCAGCACAATAATGAAAATCGCCAAACCAAACTGCCCGTGAAGGTAATCCAATCCGCGACTGCCACTGGTAACCAGAGCAACAACTCCGCCGATGAATACGAAAAGAACGGCTAAGATTTGCAGAAACATGTGCGCCTTGAACCAGAAGGCCCTGCGAGCTTCGTCCTGTTCGGAGAGGCTCGCCGTAAGCCCAGCAGCCAAACCGTTGGCGTCGCCAGTTGTGCTGCGCAATAGGGGGTCCGAAATCTGGTCTGCTGCGAGGAACATACGCGCTATAATGATGGCGGATGGCATAATGATAGCGAACGCGAAGGCCATGAAAAACCCGTGCGCGATAAAAGACGCAGAATTTCCGTAGGCTGAGGGAGCGGGAGTGGTGGTGATGGTGGTTGTGCCATTGTTATAAGCCACATCGGCAGAGCCCCTGCACAAAAGGTTTAACAGAAATGTGAGGGCGACAATTAGTAACAAGATAAGCCGGAATTAAATCAAACATGTAATTTGGAGAAGGGCAACGAGAGCGTTTTAGAGTTCTGGGGGCGAAGAGGGGAGTGCTGACAACGGGAAAAGGGGGAGGATGGTAGGAGGAAGCAAGGCACACCTGTTGGCGCCATGGAACTTCAGTTCTTGCGAATTCGAGTCGGAGTAAGCCCAGATGATGTGGGCGGGAGAACTGAGGAAGAGTGGGACTCTGCCTGAAGCCATTTCCCTCTCAAACCTGCAAAATGCGAGTTTCTCAGGGAAAGGGCGATGAAAATGAGACCGGCTGAAAGAATGAGAAGCTGAACTGCTGCTGATAAAGAGGATGAGTTATCAATGCGTTCGTTCACGCTTTTCACTGCGTTCACTATCCCCAAAGAAAACCTCGAACCGCACTTACTCGACAATAGTCTTCCCGTCGCGTGAAGTCACAGCTGTCAACGCCAGCCCGAGACGCGGATTTGGCACAATCTCCGCCTTGCTCTTCCCACCAATATAGAATGAGCCAATGGTAGCCACGTTGCCGTTCTCGCTGTCGTCAGTCACGATGCCAGGTGGCAGGTTCCCAATGGCTGCGTCACTGCCGGCCATCTTGCCGTCCTTGGACCAGCCGAGGGCGACCCAGCCGGTGGTCGCGACTTCGGCGGCGTAAGAGACGGAGTTGATGCCGACGGTCCAGTGGAGAATATAACTGAAGTGATTGTATCGGGGGGGCGGGGAGAGGAAGAAAAGAAGGAAGGGAGCTCCAGGAGAAGGATGAAACGAATGTGAGGACAGCATGTTTGACTTCGACGCGATCCAGTGAAAGACGAGACACGGAACCGAAAGTGAGTGAGAATCCACGCGACGGAACGTGAGTGTGAATCCGCGCAACGGAAAGGGGACGGCAAGTGAGGTCTAGCCTTTCAGCACGGCTTTTATCCATGCACTGACGTCGCGAGTGAAAAGAGCCCTTTTCAGAAGTCCCGTTACAAGAACGTTAATTTTGGCTCACAAGAGAAGTACTTACTCCTTGCCCTTGAGCTCAACGGAGCAGCTGTATCCCGGAAGCGACGACTTGGTGCACTGCGACGAGCCCAACTGCGACCGGGGCTCGCCTTCACCGAATTCGTCGTTCACGGTGGTTACGCCAATCGCCCACGCGTCGTCCGTTTCGTGCAGCGGCTCCCCGTCGCCGAACGAGTCGCCGGCGGCGCCGTCGTCGAAGCCCCACTTCTCGTCAGTCTCGTGAACTGGCCCGCCTTCGCCAAAGGAGTTACCAGAGCTTTCGCCGAAGTCCCACGACTCGTCGGTTTCGTGAACAGGCTCGCCTTCGCCAAATGCGTCGGACGAAGGCTCGCCGAAATCCCAGGAGTCGTCGATTTCGTGAATGGGCTCGCCTTCGCCAAACGCATCCGTCGATTGGAAACGCGGCAAAAACCAGTCCCAGGAATCGTCAATTTCGTTCACCGGCGCTCCTTCGCCAAACGCGTCGGTCTGCTTCGAAGCTGCACCCTCCCAGTCCCAAGACTGGTCCATCGGGTTTCCTGGCGGGTTCTTAGCTGGAGCTTTCTGGGCGTGAGCTAGGGCAAGTAGCCCAAGGAAGGCGAGAAGGGAGATAGAGCGGGGCGCCATATCCGCAGCGTTAAGGTGAAAGAAGAAACTAATCTCGTCCGGACACCCTTACCGTGCGCTCCTACCACGTCACAGATCTTGCAACCAAACTCGCCGATAATTCTAACGACCTGTATCACTCTTCGCGACTTTATAACAGCTCACTTGAAAGGCTCGGGTCTTGATTGGGTTCGACCCGATCAGCTAGTTTTGTTGAGGTGTTAGGGGGGGCGATATGCGATGGGATGGGATGCGAGGATAGCTGTGCAGCAGGGGGCTGAAATGGAGGTGCGCGCATTTTCTTTCCCAAATCCATGATGACGAGGCGCGCGCATTGTCACCACTCGTTCGAAATGCGTCTCGGCTCGGCCTCCACAAAACGTCCCACATGGCACGTGTCACATGGTGACCCAGATTGGCCTGTCGAAAGGGTTCCTTGTGAAGGTTGGACCTGCTGTAAAACGGGCAGCTCCCAAGAAAACCACCTATGCATTCAAAGCTGCGCAATAAAATTTTACGGTTGGTTGCAGCGGATGAGTGCTGATTTGAAAGCTGCTGGTTGAAATTGCACTTCGGGCAGCCACTGGGGCAAGAAGAGCTTCGACTTTTGGAACAATAGGCCACCTGAACCAGACCTAGAACGAGGGCAGGGAGTGGCGGGCGCTATTCAAGGTCAGATTCAACGAGCCGCGATAACACAGGCTGGGAATGAGGGAGGGTGCAACATGCACGAACTTCGAATCAACCTCGATATACACACGACATAGATGGTTTGGTGTTACGTATAACGTGAACAACTATACAAAACCTCCGATTTCTGTATCTATGATCTACCTTAAACGTGGATTTACCTACAACACTCAATACATTCAAGTATATGCCCTCCCTCAACGGTATAATGAGCCTCGGGCACTCATTTAAGATTTCTTTTCTGGTGAATGCTTCCTAACTTGATCCATTACCGTTCTTCCAAGCAGGACATATGCAAGCTGTCGAGGGGGCAAAAATCGATACGTCTCTACAACTTGCCAAGATGGCAACCAACATTCTACCTCGTAAAGCAGCATTGCCTGCCCCTGCTATAATTATTACCACGGGTGGTTTCAAACGAGTACCACGCCCGTCCCCTATTTGCATCTTGTTGGAAATATCTCAAGGACTTAAGCGTTTCTGAAGTGTAACACTGTACTCGAGGAAGATTACAGGGGAGCACGCGAGTCAACGGAGGTTACACGAGGGGGCGGACAAAGAATGCGAAAGGACTCGAAAGGTCGCAACTGGAGGTTGCGACTGACCGTTACAACATCACGGATGGTAACCGAAGCGGCAATCGAGTCGCTGTGCGACTCGATAAACCGTTCCTGTAACTGTATTCTACAACTGCTTTCTTATCTACTATATATTGCTGTATGCTTGTTTCTTTAATCAATCACTTGTTCTCACATACTAGTACAAGGGTTCAACTGCCTCAACTTCCGCTGCACTACTCCAAGTCTCAAGTCTTTACAGCTGGGACTTAGTCTCTGCAAAAGATCCTAAAGGGTTTTTCTCAGCCCAACATGGTATGAGAGCTGGTCAGAGACCAAACTCCCAGCAACTACGTCCTATCAACAACCTGCAACTCAACTCAATTCAACGACTTCATTGATTACAAGACATGGACAACAAGGGCAAGAAAGTCTCTACGGGCTCACCCAGCGCCCAAGAAACTCAACACGGCAACTCTGGTCTGCACACCTCAGGACTGCAGACAGAGACCGGGACTGCTCAAGAAACAACGGGAAGAGTACCAGAGATGGTGACCCCGTCTCCCTCTTCAAGTGTGGACCCGAATCTCATGGAGAGATTCTTCAGCTTCATGTCACACTTCGATCAGCAGCAGCAGACAAGGACACCTGCGCACTCAACACAGAGCAATGGAGGGAATATGGGATTAGCGCCGATGAGCCTCGACAACTCATCCTTCGGGCGACACAATCAAGCGCCTACCTTTGCGCCTTATCATTCTTCGCCGGGGACGTTCGAATTCATGCCGCCCCGTGCCCAGCCAACAGCAGCTGCTTCACAACAAACACCGAATGAAATCTTAAGTTTACAGGCGCAGTTCTCACACGTGATCAAACTTCAGACATCCTCACCGTTCAACGGACACGACTTCTTTACCTGGAGCTTCGAGTTCGAGCTGCTGATGGAGGCCGCGCATCTTCTGGGATACTTCAACGGGTCCCTGCCATTCCCAAGCAACGGCACTGGGAAGGAACAAGAGATCTTCACGTATCAGTCGCTGCTGGCGTACACGGTACTCCTGAGAAACCTGTCACCATAAGAGCAGCAGAGCATCAGAACGTATCGGAGTTATGGAAACTCCGCGGAGCTCGCATGGCACCACCTCAAATGCCTTTACCAAGCAAACGACAGCGTGACACAAAGCAGACTCATGCAACAGCTGACAACAATACAGATGAAGACCGGGGAAAAGGCGATGCAGTATATGAGTCGCTGCCAGACCCTCCGCGACCGCCTGCTTCGGTGCGGAGGAACGATCACTGAACAAAACTTCGTGACACTTGTCCTCGCCGGGCTCGGGCCAGAATGGAGAACCACACGATCACTTCTTCGAGCCCACGGAAGAATTTCGGAGATGCACCTCTGCGCCGAGCTTCACGCTGAACAACAGGAGATGGATCTGTTCGAGGAAAGACAACCAAGGAAGCAACAGCAGTTAGTCTTCTACACTCAAAGAAGAAATGACAACAACTACAACCGACGCAGCAAGCAAGATCAACGCGACAACCGAGGACTCACCATCGTGCCGCCGTTCTGCCACAACTGTCAGACTTCCGGGCACTCCAAGGTCAACTGCAACCGCCCTCGCGTTTACCGTGCAGCAGACCCACAAGTCGCTTCCACTCAAGCAAGTCCTCCAAGGCGCTCTTCAACATCTGCACAACAAACACCCAACATCATCAACTGCATGGTACACATCGACAACTGCGCACCCGCTTCACCACCCACTTACGCACCAGACGAAGAGGAATTCCCGCCGCCGCGCTCGCAAGGACTTCAGGTCAACCCGACATACGCTGCAGTCGCTAACGCCGAACCCACCGGGCGGAACACCTGGTTCTTGGACAGTTGCTGCGGTCAGCACATGTGCTCCTCCGGACGCTTCGTACAACACGAGCGACGCCTCAACCGTGACGTCGTCATCACCGTCGCCAACAACGAAAACCTGAAAACAAATAGACAAGGCGTGGTTCAGTTACAATCAATGGAGACAAACGTTATTCTTCAGCTCAACAAGGTCCTCATCGTCGACAATCTGGGATACAACCTATTAAGCGTAAGCCAACTAATGGCTAAGGGGATTCACCTGGAGTGCAACTCCTTCTCCAACGAGTTCCGACTTTACCACGGGAAGGGCGGTCTCTTCATCGGTCGTGCCCTCCTGAAGTCCGGTGTCTTCGTGTTGGACTTCGTCCCCGACCGCGGAACTGCCGACAGCGACGGTATCGTATCCTTCGCCGCCTGGACTCATCCGCCAGATCTTGATCCCGACTTCGACAGCGACGGCTTCTGGCACTCCAACACCATACCTGCAGCAGAAAGAACACGAGCATTAGCAGTTATCAGACAAGAAAGACAAGTACCCGCATGTGTCCCAACAAAACCATCACCTGCAGTATCGGCAGCAGGACCCAGCCGAGTACCACCACCAGCGACACGAGGACAGCCAACCGAAGCAGACCAACTTATGCCCGCCACACGAGAAGCTTGTCGAAGTCCCGCCTCGGTCGTCGCGTTCTTCTCCAACGCCGACATCTACCACCGCTCGCCCGGTCACCGCGCTCCCGACGACATCTGGCACCAACGTCTCGGACATCCTGCAAACAGCACGATACTTCAAACAATCCAAGCAGAAGTGTTAGAACGCAACGCCCTTCTGACGACGAGCGGCCAGGAACTCCGACGACCACGCGCACGGTGTTTCACATGCCCCGAAGCAGATCTTCCTCATCAACCTTTCCCAGCCCATCACAATCCAAGCGCACCCACTTACGCTCCGATGGAAAAGGTCTACAGCGATATTCTAAACATGCCTCGAGACGACACCGAAGCCGACTTCAACTACGTCATCACGTTCATCGACGCCGCAACCAGATACGTCTGGCACTTCAATCTCAAAACGCGCGATCAAGCCTTCGAGGCATTCACCACATGGCTTCCAATCGCCGAACGAGAGTCAGGAACCAAACTCAAGAGTTTCCAGTCAGACGGTGCACTGGAATACCAGTCACAACGCTTCAGGACCTATCTCGCGGAAAGGGGAATCCGACGCCTGGTGTCTCTGCCCTATGCTCACCAGCAGCAGGGGGTAGCAGAACGCATGAACCGGACCTTGCAGACGACGATGCGAAAACTGCTTCTGGGGATGAGGCTGCCCAACGCACTGTGGCCAGACGCGATGACACATGCAGTCCACCTGCACAACCTGTTGTCCTCGTCATCGCTCCCCAACAACGCATCACCACACCTGCTGTGGACGGGAAAAAGGGGCAGCACAAAATTACTTCGAGTTTTCGGCTGCATGGTACAATACAGACCCCACACAGCTCGAGCAGGACGCTTCACTCAACGAGCTCGGTGGGGACTACACCTCGGCATCGCCAAACATTTTCACGCGTGGAAGATCCTCGACATACAAGACAAAAATACGGTGGCATCACGTGATGTTATCTTCTACGAGCGACTGACGCTGCAGCATTATCTGGACAACATTGCCAACTCAGACGACCCCACCGACGGCTTCGCGGGCCTTCGCTCCTTCGCTGACCATGCTGCCGAGGCTGACGCAGCAGAAGAAGACGTACCTGGAGCCTCGGAAGCTGCCGGGCCACTCCCATTCTGTTCCATACCTGTTCCACTCGATGAAGATAATCCCCTCGATAGCAACAACCTCGACACCTTTTACCACTTCGCCGACCAAGGTTACGCTACACCGCACCCCGTCGACACGAATATTTCGGAACGCATCGGCCCCAATTTCTTACCTGACCCCGAAGACGGTGACGAAGCAGCTTATTCGGGGAATGACAATTCCCCTCGACACACACCCACGGGACTCCAGATTCTAGGCCTCTGGGTCTCCGTCCAGCATCCGCCGCCGCCTTCTACGCGTGAGCCTTCAACCTTGTCGCAGGCTCTGGGGGGGGAACATAAGGCAAAATGGAAAGAAGCGATGGAAAAGGAGTTAAAAGCTCTGCAAGACCGAGAAACATGGAAACTGGTACCTGCAACGAGCATCAACGGGAAGAACGTTCTCTCGGGGAAATGGGTGTACCGCATCAAGACCAACTCAGACGGCTCCATCGAACGATTCAAAGCTCGATGGGTCGTACGAGGCTTCGATCAACGATACGGAACCGACTACACAGAAACCTTCGCCCCAGTCTCCCGTCACACCTCATTACGCATCCTACTCGCCGTCGCGGCCACAAAAACACTACCACTACGCCAAATCGATGTCGCGAATGCGTTCCTATACGCACCTGTGGACGCTGAGATCTTCGTCGAACAACCCCACGGATTCATCGACGACCCCACGAAAATATGCCGACTGACAAAATCCCTATACGGGATCAAGCAAGCCCCGCGGCTCTGGCAGCAGCATCTTCACAGCCGTCTCGTAAAAATCGGCTTCCTACAGCTGCCGCATGACCAAGGGATGTACCGACTGCAGAAGGGAAGAGAGTATGTTCTGCTCATCGTCTACGTCGACGACCTGCTCTACATCGGCTCAACTACCGACATCGCCACCTGGTTCGAAGGGGAGCTGAAAGAAGATTTAACTCTCACGGTGTCCGACGAAGTTACGCAGTACCTAGGACTGAACGTCGTCGAAGACGACACGGCGTTCTACCTACACGCTGGAAAGTACTCAAGCACCGTCGCGAAGAAATTCGCTCTAACACCGACTGCGGTCCCAACTCCCTACCGCTACGGGAACAACGGCAGCGCCTCTACAAAACTCCCCGCGAAACAAATCCAGGAGTATCAACAGAAGCTCGGCTGCCTACTATTCGCAGCAGTAACCTGCCGACCCGACCTATCCTATAGTGCGAGTCAGCTGGCGACAC